AAATTAGAATATAAGAATAATAATAATATAATAATAATTAGAATATAATAAGAATATAATAATATATTGGAAATAATAATAATAATATTGTTAAGCCAAAGTCATGATGTATGTTTGAAATGAAACTTGCATTTATGTGAAATAGAGGACTTAGGGGCATTAGGCTTAATGGAATATAGGTGAGAGGATGGGGAGGTTAAGGAAGTAATGATAAGTAGATATTTGTAATATTTAAATTATATAAATTAGTTATATATAGAAGTTAGTTATCTTTGGGTTGAGGATTCACGGAGGAAGAAGAGAAATAAGTAATTGTGAGTTACTTGATAAGAGTGAAAGGAAGAGAGAGAAAGAAGGGAGCTTGGACCGGCGTAGGCAATTTTACCCGATTACGCGCAACCGGCGGATTTATTTTAAATCCAAAAGGCAAGTTATTATCTACTTTTCCCCTTTGAATTAATAAATTAATTGTTTAGTTTATTTATATGCATAGAGACCAGGTTAGGAGGTTAATAAATTATTAATTTTAGTTTATTAAATTAATGAAATTTTAATTTTATGGGATGGTATATATTTATTTATTATCCTATGAAATTATTAAAGGCTGAAAATAATTAAACAAAGTCTTTAGGGTTTTTTTTAGAATTTTCTAGATTTTTCCGGGGCTTTTCTGCAATTTCCGGCGAGACTCCGGCGAGGTTTCCGGCTACCGGATGTGGGGGAGATGACCGGAGTGATCCGGTGTGATGCGGCGTACTTCAGGGTGCGTGCGCGCGTATCCTGGGCCTTAGATGAATCTGATTGATCCGGTGCACCGCGGTCCATGTTACCGCGGTACACCCGAATCGTTAACCCTTGGATTAGGTGAGATGAGATGAAGTGATCCTGTGTAGCGCACCCACAGCAAGTCAATACAGCCAACCAACCAGGAGGTGCCACGTCTGCAGGAGACTTAAACGCGCACGTGGGAGCGCGTGAGCGCGCGAAGCTGATGCCAGACGCGTGTGGAGGCGCGTGCAAGCGCGTGGGAGAGTGGGGAAGGTTGGGCTGCGCGTGGGGGAGCTTAGGGGGGCGCGTGGGGGCGCGTGAGGGGCCCTGTCAGCTGCTAGAAATTACCAGAATACCCCTAGGGCCTGTTTTGTAAATTCCAGAACCTTAAACTTGGAGTTTTAGGGCCTGTGTTGGTAGTTACGGGTTTAACGGGACACGAAATTATTATTTTATTACCCGTTAATTATTATTATGGCCGATTAATCTGTTCTAAACATTTATTGGCGCGTTCCAGTACGGATATGACTGTGATTCATTTAACGACATTGTTAAATATAGATGGTGTTATTATTTTATTAAATGGTATTAATCATTGCTTTTAAATTAAATAATGCCATGGTTTTGGTAATATAAATTATCCATTTTATATTATGGGATGTTTATATTGTTAATTATATATAAACCATGATTATTATGCTGTGTGCATTTCAGAGAATAAATGGACTGTTTAAATTATGTCACATTTATATTATATGGATGTGTTGCCATATAGAACCATGTGAGCTGGCTAATACGTTATGTCACATTTAAGTTTATACCTTATGCATTCGTTGCGATAGACAGATGTGTGGCTGTCGGGGTAGGTGGTTTAATATTATTGGCATGTATTGCCTAATTGACATACTCAGTATATCTATTCATATTATTGGCATGTGTTGCCTATTTGATATGCTCAGTATATTCATTAGTACATTGAGATGTGTTATCACTGTGTAGTTCTTTACAGTCTGTGTTGTCAGTACCGTGCACCATGTATAATAGCTGATTTCCCGGGTAGGGAAATGCGACACTTAACCACCTAGTGTGAGTCTAAGTGATCACCGTGTTTTCTGGTTGAGGTCATGTTATACATTGGATAGTTCCATTAGATAGTATACAGATATAGTACTCATCCGGATATAAATGATTAATTTATTTGATTCTCCGATTTGGGTCATAGTAGAGAGGACTTGCTCGTGGGGTTGACCCACCATTGTTGTTATTTCATGATACGGTCAGTACCCGTTCCAAGGTTGAGGCTAGCCGTGTGGGACCACCATCCGAATTCATCTACTCTTACGATCCAGTTCAGGGTAGAAGTTTTATGTACTACTTCAGTTTCAGTTTTTATTGACTTTTGACGTTGAACTCTCAGGATTTATATTTAGGGATCCTTAACATATGATTTCCAAGTTATAACAGAGTACTGTATTAAATAAAGGATGGATGGATGTTTTATTATTTAGTGTTCCTTTCCTGTCTAAATTCTTTTATTATTATCATTTTGTATTCCATGCTTGTATATTGCCAATTGTTTTGATATCCCTCGTTTTTCGTGTATAAGCCTGATCAACTTATGCGTGGAAAATGTTGGGGGTGTCACACTTATGGTATAGTTTATACCTTTAAGCTAATGGATGGAACGATAGGAAAGTAATCAACTTTGCATGCGGTTAACAGATAGAAATGATTAAATTGTGTTTTTTTTGTTTTAACAATTTAATGGACTGTAGCATGGACTCTAAACATACTGTTAGGCTGTATTAGAACCCACACGGCAGAATTAATATTTTTATGCTAATGGATTTAACAGTAGTGAAGTTTAAACAATCTTGCACGTTGTTAACGGGTATGAATGATTAAATTATTTAATTGTGTTTTAACAATTTAACGGACTGTAGTATGATTTATAAATCTTGTTTTGGATGCATAATAGGATCATTTAATTATCAGACTTGATTTATGCTTACTCTGGATTTTAATTGCTGAGATATTAAACTCTGTTTTGTAATTACATGGATAAATGTTTTGGATTCTAATTGCTGAACTATTAAACTTTGTTCTGTCAATTACATGGATTACTGTTGTGGATTTTAATTGCTGAACTACTATATTATGTTCTGTGATTACATGGATGTTAGGGATGCACCGGTATGGGACGGTGGCATGCTAGGGATGGTTTAGCTCAAAAGGCTAATTCCTACCTCTTCTGGATTTTAATTGATGAACTACTTTACCGGTTCTATCAATTATATGGATTTTGTGGATTATATGCACCGGTATGGGATGATGGCATATTAGGTTTGGATTAGATCAAAATGCTAACTCCTACCTATTCTGGATTTAGGAAATGGATTTAATATTAACATTTAAATCCTAATTAAATGTCGTGTCTTGGTAACGAACAGTTAAGCTGCACTTCATTGGTTTTTGATGGAATTTATATATATATTTATGGTACCACGATATGAGCTTGAGTCTTAGGATCGTTGGTTAGGAAGCGTATATGCAATGGGATGCATAGCTGGTTATGATGGTTGAGGTATACTATGTTGGGTCTAGGTACTCATGCCCACCTTTGGGTGCGTTTTTGCATGTTGCCTTCTATTCAGGTTGAGACCCCCATTGTAGTCCAGTGAGAGTCATTTAGTGTGGATATATATATGTATGGTCTAGATAGATATTGTTGAGATATCTATGATGTATTTGCGTATCGGGTCTCTGTTTGGATTGTAATTAGAAGATAACTTGTTCGTGGGCCTGACCCACTATTATTTTTCGGGTATCGGACAGTTCCAGTTTTAGAGCTTGTTCGTGCTGAGCAGAGACGGTCACTCATTCTTCTAATTGCGTAGGACTGTTATTTATATTTAGTTTTTGATCTCCTTGTTTAGTTTAGTTTAACTTCAGTTGGGTTTTGAATAAGGGTCCACTAGATGGATTTTCGAGTTGTAATTGTATTAGATGTACTAGAATAACTCTTATATATAAAATTTATTCTGAGGTTTCTATTATTGGATTATCATTTTAGTTTTCTTTAAGCAAATTTTTTTTTTATTCCTATTTATCATAATTGTATTCTGTGTTCGTTTATTGCCATTTGTTTTTTATATCCTCGGGTGTTCGGGCATGAGCCTGACCAACCTACATCTGGATATCCGAGGGTATCACATTAATCAATTTTATTAAATAAGGAAACAAGTAGCACCTAAAGAGGCATATTTCTTGATAACAAAAAAGTAAGTCAAATTACAAAGAGGGTATTTGGGACTTTAACAATAATTCTTGATGTATTTGTAATTATTTTGTTTAAATCTATCAAATTGAAAATTAGACTTTTAAAATAGACCATTTTGTTATTTTGAACTCCTAACTTTATCTATGTGTAGTTTTCCCTAAATATTATTTGTTATGAACTAGAAAGAAAAAAAAAATTTATTCACTTGATAACAACAATGATTCAATCAACAACTTTTCTCTTCACTTTTATTAAATATTATTTATAGACCCATTTTAACAATATACATTAAACTTGCAAAAAAAAAAAAAAAAAATTTATTATTTGTTATGAATTAGAAAGAAAAAAAAAATTATTCACTTGACAACAACAATGATTCAATTTTATTGCATATTATTTATAGACCCATTTTAACAATATACATTAAACTTGCAAAAAAAAAAAAAAAATTCTTACAATGATTTTATGTTATTTTTAAATTTTAATTTTACATTTCTAGTTTGGCCCCCACCGATTAAAAATTTATGGATCCGCCCCTATCGGTATGCATAGGGCATTGGTTGCCACAGTGGTGGAGTTTGATATATATATATATGTATATATATATATATATATATATATATATATATATATTTTGGCTAACGGTCATTTTGGTCAAATAAAAGGACCTATAAATGCTAATATACTTTAATAATTTAAATGAGTTAATTCAAAAGTTAAAGGGCAATTAGATACTCTTATCATGATTGGAGTATTGTTGTTTAAATTTACAAACTTGAGGGAACAATTGGATCACTACCTGTTCTTATTGCAAACTTGAGGGGTGTAAGTACAAATTACCCAATATATTATAAATATTATTATATATAAGGGTAAAAACAATTAAAACTTTTACTTTCCTTATTTCCTAACTAACATAATAAATTTAAGGGCTTATTCTCTACTCTTTTATTCAACCAAAAAAAGAAAAAAAAAAAAAAAAAAAGGAAAAAAAGGTGAATCGACACGTCGCCGTTCCGACATCTAATACTTGAACCAATATATCTATACTTTTCTATTTTTTATTTTCCAATTACCAAATCAATTTGTGGAAAAACCCTAATTCCGTCGATTCAGTTTCAGCCTCGCATTACCTATCTCTCTCTCCCCCCCTCTCTCTATCTCTCTATCTCTCTCTGAAGTTCTTCAATCGTCATTCTGAAGGAACCACGATCTCTTGATTGATCCATTCGTTTATCCGCAAGAGGTTAGTCTATCCATCTTTCTTTCTCTCGATTTTTTTGGTTGATCTCAGATTTCGCACATTGAGTCTTGTCGAAGAGTTTCTCCGTGTTTGGTTCTGTGCATGATGTTCGCTGATTCGAATCTCTCGTAATTTCAATTGAATTTGTGTTTTTCTTTTTCTTTTTTTAATAATTTTTTTATTTTATATATATATATATATATATATATATATATATATTTCTTTGTGAATTGGGATTGGCGATTCTGTTTCTGCATATATAGAGAAGATTGGACAGATCTTCAGCCAACTTTGGTGCTTTGTGATCCTATCGTGAAAGTTTTTCCATTACTTTGTTGCTGTGAATATATAAACTTCTTTGACTTTTCTATTTATGAATGTTTCTGTTAGAATTTAAGCAGAGAGGGATAGTTGCTTTAGAATTGCTAGCGCGCATGATGTTTGGGTGATTTGATTTCCCATCCAATTTGGTTTCGTTTGCTCGAGCAATTATCTCTCAGCACCATCAGTGCATCGTCCATTTTCTGGCATGAATATGGAGGGAAGCCAATTTTCTTTGAAACCCAGAAATTGACACTATGGACCAGCAACCCTTGTTCAGGAGCTAGAAGTTGATCCACTCAGTGGATAAAATGCTGGTTTGGTCGAGGGCTTCCAAATATGTATCAGAAGAAGAGGAAGCATCTGACACCTTCCACTTAAAATAACCAAGTAGTGCTATTCTCTCCTCCGGGGAGTGGACTCCTTGCAATGAGCCCACTTCACTTTGTAGAATTAAGGGGACTGCACAGGTGTTTTGTAGCGCTAAAGTCAGGACATTCATTTGAGAGAAAGGTATATGATGGGTTTTAAGTCAGGACATTCATTTGAGAGAAAGGTATATGATGGGACCCTAAGTTTGCAAGTTAGCAATTAATTTGGGGTGAGTTACTTGTCCTGTCTGAATTTTTGATACTTGAAGAGCTCACTATTAATTATGGGACCCTAATGCTAAAGGAATCCCCTCAATTATGAAGGATAGACTACAGGTACAGTAGTACAACGACAATAGTGGCAAGAACTGATATATGGTGAAAGATATATTAAAAGATGGCTTCTGTATAGGAGAGGGAACCTACATATATATGGTGATAATGCAATTATACTAAATTAGATGCATACCGTCTTGTCATTGTAGTTTTTATGGTGGTGGTTTTCACATATCTTTCTATACATTCCCATACTATAGAGAAAGACATAACAAGGACGTAACGTATATCCATACTCATATGTTTGTTGTGTATGTAAATAGATATATATGTTACAGACACACAATATGATAACTCGTCATATACTCACATGGCCACTCCGTTAATAAAATGCTTTTCCTTTTGGCCTTTTTTTTTTTAATGCAACAAAATTTTATATTTAACTTTATTTTTTATTTTTTCACAATTATACTTTTTATTTTTTATTTTTGATAAGTATCACAGTTATACTTTTTTCATGATAATAGAAATTGTTATCCCATTTTCAACCTTCAATAGTCATATTTTAGCATATATTTGAGCAAAGTTGGCCATTTATTTAAAATTAGAATTTTACTTTTAGATTATGGAAATAGAATTTTATGTTCAAATGTTGGATAAGTCCACAATGTGTTGAACATTTGTCAATTTGAGCATGCATTAGATCCGAAAATTTTTAAGAATTCGCATAATTTGGAACTTTGAAAGGAAGTTCGAAAAATTGATAGATCAGCATTGTTAAGTGCCACTGTGTGAATATTGATTTGAATTGAAGTTATCATTGTATTTAAGAAATACGGTTTTCTATGTGGTACATCATGAATAATTTTGAAATGAATTCTTTATTTTAATGTATAATATTTTATTTTTCTTTTATTCTCATGTGGTCCTGAACAACATGAGAAAATTAAATATTGTTGACATGTATAAAGTACGTGAAGAAAAGGGGTGGATTCTTTTTCCTTGGCAAGAGACACACCTACTTGCTCCTATGGAGACTTGAACCCTTGACCTTTTACTTTTTAAGGCAAGGAAGTACCACTAGACTACAACATTTGGTGGTAAAAATGGTGGATTTTGCGTAGGGAAAATTTGATTTTTATATGTGGCAATTTGTGGCTAAGCAAATTGTAAATTGTAAGGATAATTTTTTTCCTATATAACAACGGGTACTATATACTTTTGAGATTTTTCCATTGATATGTTTGTAACGTTATTGTTTATGAAACCTCAACCAGAACTTCAATTCTTAAGGAACGCTAGAATTGGGTATTTTACAACTGTAATTTCCTAAAGACTTTGACTTATCAAAAAAAAATAATAATAAATAAATTCCTGAAGACTTTGATTTTTTTTTTTTTATAAGTAAAAATATATTAGAAAAACGTTCAAAAGGAGAACGCGTCCCTAATACAAGAAGAAAAAAAGGTCCAAGGACCAATAGAAAATAGAATCTAAGAGATCAAAGAAATCATCAATCGAGGAGCATGTATTTCCTCTTACATAACAGAACAAAGAACGAAGAATAAGAATTTTTAAATTAGCTAAAGACGATTCTTTTTCTTCAAAGGATCTGTTATTCCTCTCACGCCACAAACACCACCAGACACAATGTGGAATAATCTTTCAATAATCACGAGCTTGTTCTTTAACAGGACACCTTTTCCAAGCGTTAATCAATTGTGAGGAGTGCTTAGGCAGTACCCAAAAAATGCCAAACATGCAAAAAATAAAACTCCAACAATCATACGCCACAGGACAATGCAAAAGAATGTGATCCATGGATTTACTATCAGCTTTACATAAACAACACCAATTAACAATGATGTTGCCTCTCTTTCTCAAATTGTCCAATGTCAAAATCTTTCCCAATGTGGCAGTCCAAACAAAGAATGCGATTCGAAGAGGAGCTTTAGAACACTAAACAGACTTCTAAGGGAACTCAGGACCAACGAAATTGGACAAACAGAAGAACATAGATTGGACGCCATACCGACCATGAGCTAAAGGAACCCACAAAATATCATCACACCCTCTGCCAATATCCTTCTGCCTATACAAGGTATCCAAAAAAACACAAGCTTCCTCCATTTCCCAATCCTGAAAGGGCCGCCTAAACCGCACATCCCACGTAACTCCATTGTTATCAAGTTAATAACAATCAATCACGTGGACATGCTTATTGGCTGCAATACTGTAAAGTCTAGGAAATGAGTGAGACAGCAACTGATCGCCGCACCAAAGGTCCTCCCAAAAACGAACATGTCTGCCATCACGAACTTTGAATCTAATATGTGTGGAGAAAACATCCCAGCCCTTCCGAATGAATTTTCACACACAAATGCCTCCCGTAATAGTGACTGGAAGAGATGACCAGCCCCCACTCTCCTCACCAAAACGACATGAGACAACTCTACTCCACTGACGATGACGTTCCCTTCCAAATCTCCATAACCACTTTCCCAAGAGAGCACGATTAAAAGGAACGATTTTTCGAATGCCTAACCCGCCTAATCTCAACGGTTGGCAGACTTGATCCCAATTAACAAGATGATACTTAAACTCCTCTCCCCTTCCACCCCAGAGAAAATTCCTCTGAATTTTTTCAATCCTTTCAGCAACAGAGCATGGACTTTAAAACAAAGATAAAAAATAGGTAGGAAGGGATGAGAGAGTACTCTTAATGAGTGTGACTTTCCCCCCTTTAGATAGATACTGCTTTTTCCATCCTGCTAATCTTTTCGCATATCTATTAATCACTGGATCCCAATTCCCAACTTGTGTAGAAGAAACTCTCAAAGGCAATCCTAAGTAAGGAAGAGGAAAAGTACCAACTTCACACCCTAGGACAGCAGTTAAGGAGGAAATATCTGGGACATCCCCCACTGGGACAAGCACACTCTTTCCGACATTAATCTTTAACCCAGAAACCGCTTGGAAGCAAGCAAGAATGTACCTTAGATATCTGAGTTGAGAAACTTCAGCATCACAAAATACCAATGTATCATCCGCAAACAACAAATGGGAAATTTGCATCTGATGTTCAACATCTCTGCCAATTCTGAACCCCCTGATGTAACCCAAATCTTTCACTTTTCTCATTAACCTGCTCAGACCTTCCATGACAATAAGGAAAAGAAAAGACGATAATGGATCTCCTTGTCGCTGACCACGTGAGCTAGCAAAAAAACCCGCAGGTGAACCATTCACGAGCACAGAAAACATAACTAACGAGATACAAGTTTCAATCCATTATATCCACCTTTCACCAAACCCCATCCTCTAAAGCAGATACAGAACAAACTTCCAATTAACATGATCATAAGCTTTCTCAATATCAAGCTTACACAAAACTCGAGGAACCCCACTTTTTAATCTAGAGTCAACACATTCCCCTGCAATAAGAACAGAATCTAAAATCTGCCTCCCACCATCAAAAGCATTCCGTGATTTTAAAAGGAGACCATCCAAAACATTACTGATCCTAGAGACAAGAACCTTGGCAATAAGCTTATACAAACATCCAATTAAGCTAATTGGCCGAAAGTCCTTAATATTTGAGGCACCGCCCTTCTTGGGAATGAGAGCAATAAAAGATGCATTCAGAGATTTCTTAAATGTGCCATGAGAATAAAAATCCTGAAAGGTGCCCATCACCTCAGCTTACACCACCTCCCAATTCTCCTTACGAAACCGCATATTAAACCCATCTGGCCTTGGAGCTTTGTCTCCGTTACAACTAGAAAGTGCCTTAAGCACTTCCTCCTCCATGAATGGAATCTCAATTCTATCACTATCCAACGCAGAAATAGAATTAAATGGGAGACCATCAAAAGTAGGTCTCCAATCCAAAGACTCAGTGTAGAGCTGCTGATAAAAAGAAGCGATTCCCCCGCGCATCTTGTCCTCCCTCCACAATTCAGAACTATTGACCCGGATACGCCCGATGTGATTACATCTTCTGTGAGCATTGGCAAGTCTATGAAAGAACTTTGT